CCACCCCCACCTCTGAGGAACTGCATGAAATTTGATGACCCATTTTAAAATTCACCTTGAAGCCAAAGCAGTGTGCAGAAAAAAGAAAAAAAAAAAAGTTTCTGATTATTTCTTGCCCTTAATGAATTTTATTTAGAAAACCGAGTTTTCTTTTATTTATTCTGATTTGGAAATTGGCTGCCAGGACTTGAATTGCTGGGAGTTTAGCAAGAAACACACCGTGCTCCATCGTTCAAAAACCTGCAGAGGAAATAGAAAAACTAATAGAGTCCGAGTGGAATAAACCTCAGACAAGTCCTAAAAACTGTCGCCTTATATCGTTTTTTTAATTTTCTAAACAACTGGCTTAGGCAGAACAATGTTAGACCTCTCTTTAATTTATGTTTTTTAGCTCCTTATATTTTATAATACATCCTAAATGTTTTTCAGCTTGTTTTTAAATCAAAAAATGTTTTTTTTTTAATACTTCTGTGACATAAAGAGTGAAGATCTGTCCAAAATAAAGTAATACCAGGTGACACTGTGAAATACAAAGCATGGAAAATAAAAGAACAATTAGCTGAATACATGTAGAAATAATAGAAAAAAAGTTAAAACTTTTCTACGAATGACTGTTTATCAATCATTCCACTGTATTTGTGTGTGTGATCAGTGTCATTTAGCTTTCAAATGGGGGGGGGGGGGGTGCATCTTAATCTAATTAATGCCTGAATATAGATTAAGAATTATGAGTTTAAAAATAAATTTGGGGGAAGGGAAATGTGTTTGAAGTCAGGTTGCTCAGCAACTCAAACCATTTATTTCACTCACACACACAAAAATAAGACACTCTAAGATTTAATAAACAGGTCGTCTTCATTAAAATGCAAACAGGGAGACGGGCTGCACCTGAAGGACAGCAGAAATTAGTCGGGGCTAAATTCTCTTCTTGCAGGTAAATTGCTGACCTTCTGCTAACGCCTGTCAAAATGAACGCTGCAAATCAGCCGAATCAGCTTTCAGCTTATTAAAATTAATTTGGTATCGAGATGTGCACAAAATGTGCTGCGCTCTTTTTTTTTCATTTATTTCTTCTTATTATTTTTAAAATAAGACTAAAGTGAATGTAAGTGCAGTCGTAAATGTAGCACGGTGCTTATTTTTAGTTCTCACCCTACACCTTGTGTCTTTGAAGGCCTCAGAGAAAATAAACTCAATATAAGCACAGAGAAAATAGGAAAAATGATCAAATGTTCTATTTTATTCGTCTTGAAAATGAAAAAAATCATACACAAATGTTAAGTTTTTTACTATTCCATG